CTTTCTCATTTCTAATTTTATCTCTTGCCTCCATTTTGGCTGGGTAGCAAAGTGGAGGAGAATGAGGTGGTATCTTTATAACAACTCCCAGGTGCTTGAAAAGTAAAGCCTTCTCTCTTTGAGCAGTATCATGCCTTTCACATTCCTTTGGCTTTTCTTTCACAGCTATTTAATTATATGCTACTGTTCTCTGACCCTCTTTAATTTCTTCAAATTCTTTGTACACTGTGGACTGTGAATCAATACTGGTAAATTAAATGGGACAAAGGTTTCATGAGAGGCAGTAATTTCACGGCTAACTAGATCCATGACCCTCTTCCTTACAGAAATGGTACAAAATAAACTTTCAGAATTACTGAGATATCAGAACATTCAACATAATCTTCTTTGGTAGCTAGAATTGAGTGAAAGTAGTTCAAAATAAGACCTGATAGTTTCAGAGCAGTCACTCTGAAATTCTTTCACACCAGCACTGTGATGAATACACTCTCCTCCCCTTGGTCACCAGGCAGATCAGAGCAGAGGTCCTTAGGAGGTGGCACTCTGGCATCTGGGCTTTGCAGTCCTCCTTCAGTCCTCCTCATGTGACTCTCCCTTAGAGATAATGTTGTATTTCTGATTTTAGAAAACCCACTGCCATCGAGTCAATTCTGACTTTCAGTGACCCTGTATGACAGAGCAGAAGTGCCCCTTAGAGCTTCCAAGGGTATAAATCTTTACAGAAGCAGAGTGCCTCATCTTTCTCCTGTGGAGCAGCTGGTAGATTCAAACCACTGACCTTTTTGGTTACTGGCTGACTGTTTAACCACTATGCCACAAGAGCTCCTTCTGGTATTAGGGGGAAAAAATAAAAATAACACTCACTGCCATCGAGTCGATTCTGATTGGTATTACAGGGGCAGGGAAATCTGGTCCTTATGGGAAGGTACAGAAATGGAGTGAATATTTTGGAACAGTAATCCAGTATCTCCCACATTGGGTGTACTAGTTTTCTGTTGTTGTATAGCAAATTACCACAAGCTCGGAGAGTTAAAACAACACCTGTTTATTATCTCACAGTTTTCATGGGCCAGAAGTCTGGTCACAGATTAGGTGAATCTTGGTCAGGGCCTCACAAACAATCAAAAGCATTGCCAGAGCTGCAACAGCTCAAGGCATGATTGGGAGATCAGGGGAGTAGAGCCTGTCATTGTACACAAGGGGAAGGCAGTGCAAGGCCTTGGGTGACTGGGGTCATCTTAGAAGTATACCTACTATACTGAGTTTGATGGTTTTATTTCCTTCATTTGTATAGGGGAATCTGATCCATTCTCTGTTACACTTATTAATGATATTTAGAATTATAAATTATATTTAGCAAGAAAATCTTCCATGTTTGTTGGAAGTAAAATTATTTGTGTCTATTCATGGAATGATATTTTTTATGATTAAGATAGGAAAAGTCAAGAAGAGTTCTTATTGTAGCCTTAGATAAAAGGAGTGCTAACTCTATGTTTAGAAATGCCTACTATTTTGAGGTTTGTTGATTTCCAGTAAAATTCCTGTTTCAAGTGACTTTGTCACTATAGCGTTTTGATAGTTTCTGTAAGTGTTATCTTAGAAGAGATCAATGAGTTCTGTTGGCTGTTCAGTTCTTATTAAAGGCAGTTCAAGAGGTCTGGTGGTAGTTTGGGGTTTTAAGAGAAGCCCTTGTACTATTGAATTCATAGGCCCTTCATGAATGGTGAGGCATTGAATCATGTGTTAGAGTGTAGGTAAAATTTCCAATGGTAGAAATAGAAAGTAGAAGGCTCCATATAAATGAACTTTTTCAGGAAGTTGTTCCTTTCCATCCCTTATCCAGACCTGGTCTGGGTAAGATTGGTGTTGGTGTGTGGAAAAACAGAGGACACTTTTTGGAAGTCACATCTCAAGGAGATGCCAGGATCAGAGCCTAAGGGAAGAGAAAGAGGTGGAGGCTGAGCCATGGAGCCGGGGGACTGGGATGATAGAAGGAAGTTCTGGAAAAGGTAAGACATCGAGGGGCTGAATGTGACAGCCTGAAGAATCTGGAGCTGGTGTGTGGCATATGCTGTGACTGTTATGTAGTTCCTCTTTTTGCTAGGGTCACATGAGGTGCCCAGAGTTGCCTGGACAGGAGTGGAGAGTCATTTAGGGAGGTACTGGTGAAAAAACAACCTAATTCTTGTGGGCTATGAGTGTCAGGCCTGGCAGATGAGATTCACCTGACACAGGTAGGCAGGGTGACTTCAGCAGAGAGGATAGAGGGGAAGGACAGAAGTGAGCAATGGGTGCCGTCCAGCCAGGTAAAACAAGAGAGAAGTGGCCAAGAGAATGGAGAGGAACAAGCAGATGGACAGACATCAAGGTGAAAAACTGACCCAGCTTTGCAACTGACTGGTGCACCGAACATAGGTGTTATGGCTCTGAAGATGGTGGGATTATTGGAAGAAATTTCAAATTCATGAAAAAGGTGATTTGGAGGTAGAAAAATTAATTCAGAATTTGAAATATTGAGAATGAAAAGATAGTGAAAACTCTAGCAACATATCCTTATGAGAAATTATAATTTAATCTGATTCTAAAACAGCTTGAAGACATGCCATCTACTGATTATGGAGAATCCAGCAACAGAGAGGGTGTTTTGAGAGTTCAGGTGTTGGGTATAGAAGGTAAGAGAGAAGTTGAGGAGAAACTGGGGAGGGAGAACTTCTGAGACTTGGCCACAAAGGGACATGGGTAAACAATAGTCAAGGATTTCTCTCATGGCTGGACCCTATAAAACTAAGAGAAGAGAGGCTGGTGGAAGGATCATGAAGAGAGGATATTGGGTCGATGGGAACACAGTGGCGCTCTGGTAGTATAGTATGTAAGGCATTTGACTGCTATCCAGAAGGGTGGTGGTTCAAACCCTCCAGCGACTCTTCGGAAGGAAGACGGCAATCTACTTGCATAGAGATACTGCCTTGGAAACCCAAAGAGGGGTGCTATGAGTTGGAATTGTGAGTTTGGTTTTTTTGTTTTTTTGGGAACAGAGTTGTGAAAAATATTTGTCCATGTTGACTGTATTTGGTGGATTTATGTGTACTGAAGATTAGAATATTTGTATGACATACTGGGGAACATTGTCCTGTGGTTTTTGTGAAGGTTCATAAATCTTTCATATAAACGTCTAGTCTAGAATTTTTGAACCTCTGCCCAAAACTAGCCATGAAGTAGGGTGTAGTGGAGGTTATTTGGCTGCAAGTCATGGTCCTGCCCACTGAGGAAGTGTTTGGGGGTGAACAAAATGTCTTCATGGCTGTGTTTAGTAGTGTGCTTTCCTCAGGTTCTGGGATTAGATCCTTTTGGATTCACAGGGGATATCCAGCCAAGCCCTTCCATCCAGGCCCCCATAGCCTACAGTAGAAACTCTGGAGCTGTTTATCATCACAAGAAACTTCATAAGAGAACATCAGGACTTTCCTTATAATGGAGCCTTTTCAGAATTGTCCTTTTGAAGCAGGAGCCACAGCCACCTCTGCTCGATATTGGGGGTGAAGCAGATAGGGATCATCTCCAGGATTTTGGCTTGAGTGACCATTTTGGAAGATAGAGACTATAAGAAGAAGACTGGGTTTGGGACAGGGTGAATTGGAGAAGACATCAGAGCAGTGCCTGGTAGATAGTGGTCAGGGAAGACTGGACTGGAAATGGAAGGGGAAAAGAAGGAGGATGCTGAGGGAACCTGAGAACAGGAGAAGCCAGAGAAGTGAGAAGAGTTTCAGGGAGAGCTATGCACATAACTCTAGAGAAGAGTGACTTCAAGCAGAAGGACTGGTCAGTTGCCAGCCAGAAGGGTGACGGCTGGACTTGCAACCTCTCAGTGCCCACTGAAGGAAGCATTTCTTAGGACCAGTGGGGGCACAATTGAGTTGTAGTGGGTGTGGGAGTAAATGTGTCCTATAGTTCCTTTCATTGGCCCTCTTGCCCCCAGGGAGACTGGGAGTGTAGAAGAATAGGTCTGGGGAGCAACCAGCCAGATCCTGTCACCAAGAGTGTGGACTTCTGAGGCGGCTTGGAAGAAAGACAGGCCAGTACCTAAAAAGACTTATGAATGTTCATGTGATATGGACAATACGAGGGAGCCATGTGAGAGGAGACTACAGCTAGGGGAGGAGATAAGCCAGGTGGGACAGGATAGCCTGGGAAAGGAGGCAATCTGTAGAAAGTTAGTGTGCCTCATACAATGACATTTATTTGCTTGATGAGATGGAATTGTGCTGAGTGGTGGGGATTGGAGGAAAGAGAAGAGTGTGTTATGGGAGGTCAAGCAATAGATAGGACTGGGCTAGCCAAGCACGGATCTCTTGGGTCAGGACAGATCCTGCAGGTTGGCAGCACTCAGAGTAGAGAGAGCAGGGGCTGGGTGATACTTGAGTGGGGAGAGCATTGCCTTTCTCAAAAACAGTGCTTCAAATCATCACTGTGATGTGGTGCAAATGGTTAATAAGCTTGGCTGCTAATTGAAAAGTTGGAAGTTCAAGTCCACCCAGAGGCACCTCTAATGGTCTCTAAAGTAAACCTGTGACCTATTTTGGAAAAATCAGCCATTGAAAACTTTATGAAGCAGAGTTTTCTACTCTGACACACGGTGAGGTCACCTTGAGTCAGAGTGGACTCCACAGCAATTGGGGTGTGTGTATGTGTGTGTGTATGTGATTTTTCAGTAGAATAGGCAAATAACTTATAGGACCAAAATAGAGTGAATGGCTGGATAGAGGCCTTTCAGAAAGCACACAGACTCTTTGGATCAGTGCAATACAGGGTGTAACTAAAAAGCTGGGTGTACTTTTCAGTGGCCAGGAACATCAGAATGGAAAATATAGCCTTTATCATTGTGATCAAAATTTATGCTGCATTCTGCAGTCCTTCCTCAGGTTGAAAAGGTGAATTTTGTTTCAGTTGTTTATTTAAAGCTCCTGACGCATCTGAACTTCCTGAATTGTTTGTCCTTGCAGGTGCTGCTGTCAGGACTTATCGGTGTGGTCTCCTGGAAAAGGCCTCTGTCACTCGTGGTAAGTCACACTGTGTCTCCAGTTTGGAGTATGCAACAAGGCTTCTCTGCAGAAGTGTGAGCCCTTTAAAGGTGAAGGGAAGGAGAATCCTGACTTCTTTGCAGAATGTGGGATTCACACCTTGAGCAGAATGAACCCAGTATTGATAGGCTCCTCAGAAAGAACCACTGCATATGCTATAGGTACCACTTTTAAGAGTAGGCCTTGGATATTTTTTTGAGTTGTCCAGGTGTCATTATGTTTGTTTTGTTTTAGGTGCCCTCCTATAAAGACATACCATGAACATACCATTTTGAGATGTAGATGAAAGCCTTATCTCCAGACATTAAAACGTGTGTGTGTATGCTGTGTTGTGGATGAACCTTGAAAACGTTATGCTGAGCAAAATAAGTTAGTGGCAAAAGGACAAAAACCTGTATGATCTCATTTATATGAAATAAGCAAATACATCTCAAACCACTGCCATCAAGTCAATTCCGACTCATAGCAACCCCCATTAAGTTTCATGGGCTATAAATCTTTACAGAAGTAGATTGCCTCATCTTCTTCCCACGGAGCAGCTGGTAGGTTTGAACTGCCGACCTTCTGATTAGCAGCCAAATGCTTTACCCACAACGCCACCTGAGCTCCTTAAGCAACTACATAGAGACCAAACAATTATTAGTGATTACCAGAGGTTTGGAGAGGTGGGGCAGAAGATGGAGTTTTTGCTTAGGGACAATGAGTTAATGTTAATGGTGGTGGAATAATTAAATAGTAAAATAGTTGCATATCTTGAAAAATGTAATCAGTGTCACTGAGTTATACATGTAAAAATTGTTGAATTGGTATATGTGTTTTATTTTATATATTTTCACCACAGTAAAAAACAAAACAAAGCAAAACAAAAACATAATCACACAACCAAGACATATTTTATTAGCGTTCAAGAAGTGGTATTTGTGTGTATGTATATTGCAGACTACAAAATTCTCGTAGGGTAACATAGATTACTTATTTAAATTGGAGAATGAAGAAAGAGGCATTCACTTGGATGATTTCTTGCATTTCTCAGCTGCTGTTTTGAGGAGCAGTTGGCACAGGAGATGTAAAGAAGAAGGATTGTTTTTTCGTCAGAAAAATACCGGGCAGATTTGTGTCTATCGATTTTTATGCATGTTCTTCTCAGTGTATGCATTAATATATTTATGTGCCTGTGTCAGGACTAGAGGAGGAGGCCTTCCGGGCTTCAAGGGGTAATGAAAAAGACAGCGTAGCTTTTTCCTTCATTTGCATTAATGAATTATTTAAAATCTCTTCTTTAAGTGATTAGACGTGGAGATAATGACATGTACTAAATATTAATGGAAATAGAGAAAAACAAATCTGTCTATGGTAAACAACTCCTCTGTCATGAGGGTAACCATAGCACCCTAAAGAGGCATCAGGAGAAGAGTAGCAGCACATTCAGCTTTACCTCCTCTTCTACTGTTTCTCAGCCCATAGGAGACACTTGTTCAAACAAACAAACAAAAAAATTTATAAGAATTTTCTAATATGTACAAAAGAAAAGAGAATAGAATAGCAAACCCCTATGTATCCCTCACCCAGCTTCAACAAGTATCAACATATAGCTCATTTGTTTCAAACACACCCTACCTATTTCTCCTCACCCAGCCCCAGGCCCTTGCTGGCTTATTTTAAACAAGTGTATCATGTTGTTGGTGGTAACTGCCATCAATTAGGTCCTCAACCCATGGCAACCCCATGCACAAGCCTGCCAGTCCTGTGCAATCTCCATGATTTGTTGCTGATCAGAATGTTGTGCCCCATAGGGTTTTCATTGACTGCCTTTTGGAAGCTGATCACCAGGCTGTTCTTCCTAGTCTATCTTAATGTGGAAGTTCTTCTGAAACCTGTCAGCATCATGATAAAAGGCAAGCCTCCACTGACGGATGGTGGCTGTACATGAGGTACATTCAAACCTAAGTCTCTGTAGGGAAGGCAAGAAATCTACCACTGAACCACATGGTAACTTTTTTGCAGAGTGGCATGACAATGATTATGCAGATTCTGGGGTCTGAGATCATTTGGCTGAGCTGAGGAATAACTTGTGCTCCCTTCAGAGACATGGAGTTAGTTTGTTCCATTTCTCCTTACCACCCCTATGGTTTAGTTAGTAGGTGCCTACACTGGTCACTTGACAGTGAAAAAGACATATTCCTTCAGGTGGATGAAAAGACTGGAGAAAGATGGCACCAGTCACTCAGCCACCATTTCAGCCTGCTCCAGCCCTACCTCCAAGACAGATACTCATGGATATGAGCATTGTACCACCCAGGATGCATCCAATTTGTATATAACTAATTAGAAATTATGACTTCTATAGATATGACTCCTGTGTGCCCTAGGAAAACCAGTAGAGTTGGTTGAGATCTCAGGGTTTCATCCTAAAGGGAGGAACAAAACATCAATCAGAGTACCTAGAGAAGACCATCTTAGTGCTCAGTGACCAGCCCCTGCCCACCAGGATAGAACCAGCTACTCTCTGCTAGGAGATCAGGGTTCACCTGTCATTAATTTATTTCCTCCTAAGCTCCAGGCAGAGGAGAATGTATTCATCTAAAGTGACTAACTACTTTATCTTATTTAGGGAAGTATTGGTAACATTAGTTGTTATAACAAATTCTCCAATTCTAGTGGCATAGCACAACGGAAATTTCCTTCTCACTACTGTGCAAGGCTAACATGCCAGTTAGTAGGCTGCCTTCTCCACTCAATGATTCAGAGGCCTTGGTTTCTTCCATCTTAGGGCTCTACTAGTCCGTAGGCCTGTGGAGTCCTATACTTCACAGAGAGAAGCAAGAAAATGAACATAAGCTTCATAATGTTGGCCTGAAAGTTACCCTTATTGCCTGAAGTCATGACCATTAGAGAGATCTTGTCACATGACACTATCTAGTTGCAGAGGAGGCTGGGAAATGTAGTTTCTTTCAGGATAGGCATTTTCTGGAAGCAGCTTGTGATGGTTGGAGCTGTGTGTCAACTTGGCTGGACCCCAGTTCTGGGTGGTTGTTCCCATGATGGGATCAGATGACTGAGTTCTGAGTGGCCAGTCTGCCAAAGGGGAGTTTCCCTAGGGGCCTGCTTGCAATGATATTCCAAGGACAATCTGGAAGAACGGCATTCCGAACTACAGACTTCCTTGAGTGAGCGGCTCACCGCTCCCCTGGAGATCTCGGATTCATCTTTTATTGGAAACAACAACCAATATACTGCATGCCAGCTTGAATCTCTCGGCTCCGCTGTGCTTGTGGGAACAAAGGCGGCTGCAAGCCCCACCTCCTACAGAGACAGACTTTGCAGCTTGGACTTGGCTTCTATTCGCTTGTGAGCCATTTGCCTAAGATAAATCTCTCTCTCTCTCTCTCTAAATATATATATATACCTTGCTGGGTTTTTTTTTTTTGTATTTCTCTAGAGAACCCAATCTAACACACAACTCTATCCTGGAGCAGGGTAGACATAAGTTTCAAAATTTATTTTGTTGTTATTGAAACTATACAAAGCAAAACGTTTACCAGTTCAACCATTTCTACATGTACAATTCAGTGAAATTGATTACATTCTTTGAGTTGTAGAACCATTTTCACCTTCCTTTTCTGAGTTCTTCCTCCTTCATAAACTTACCACACCCTATGATTCCTATGTAATCTTTTGAGTTGCTATTGTCACTTCGATCCCATATAGACAGTTCTTAAAACAGTATAATGCTGTAGGCATACATATTTTTTTTTACTAGTTTACCTAAACTGTTGGGTTTTTTTATCCATAGAATTTTATTTATTCATTTATTTATCTACTATTTTTTTTTCTTCACCCAATTTAATACATGTCTACCCTCTAGTAGTGGTTTACCCTCCCTTCTCTATCCACCCCTGGTTATCATCAAAGAATATTTCTTTTTTGTGAAATCCTTTTCTTGATTTCTTGCAATAGTGGTCTCATACAATATTTGTCCTTCTGTGGTAGAGTAATTTCACTCAGCATGGTGGTCTCTAAGTTTATCCATGTAATGAAATGTTTTGCAGATTCATCATTGTTCTTTAATGTTGCATTGTACTCCATTATGTGTATGTTGTGTATGTACCATAGTTTATTGATCCATTCATATGTTGATGGACATTTAGGTTGTTTCCATCTTTTTGCTATTGTGAATAGTGCTGCAGTGAACATGGATTTGCATATATCTGTTTGTGTCATACCTCTGATTTCTCTAGATCATATACCTAGTAGTGGGATTGCTGGATCATATGGTTTTCTATTTCCAACTTTTTAAGAAAGCACCATACCATCTCCCATAGTGGTTGAACTATTTTACAGTCCTGCAAGTAGTGTATGAGGGTTCCAGTCTCTCCATACCTTTGCCAACATTTGTCATTTTCTGTTTTTTTTGTTTTTTTTAAATTTGCTATTAGTGTAGAGTTGAGATGATATCACATTATTATTTTGATTTGCATCTCTCTAATGGCTGATGACGATGAGCATTTCTTCATGTGGCTGTTAGCTGCCAATGGCTTGTTTGGTGAAGTGTCTGTGCATATTTTCTGCCAATTTTTAATTGGATTGTTTTTTTTTTTTTTGGTTGTTGTTGCTGAGGTGTTGAAGTTTTCTATACATTTTAGAGATTAGTCTCTTGGCCAACATATCATTGCCAATTCTTTTCTCCTAGTCTGTGAGTTCTCTTTTTACTCGGTGAATTATTTTGAAGTGCATAAGTGTCTAATTTTTAAGAGGTCCCCATCATCTATTTTATCTTCCAGTATTTGTGCATTTTTAGTTATATTTGATAGTGTACTTATGCCCTGAATTAGAGCTCCTAAGTTTGTCCCTATTTTTTCTTTGGTTTGGTATTCTTTGGTTTTAGTAAGACTTCACGGGATATTTTTGGTTTAAGATGAAAAGTTATCACAGGGCAATAGTTTCAGGGCTACAGAAAGTTTAGAATCCATGAGAATTGG